CACTCATTCAGATTTTATCTCGCTCACACTCTCACACACACACACACACACACACACACACACACACATCACGGATTGTTCATCAACGCCCCACATCCCCTCCCCCCTCCCAAACTGCCGGCGCCTTTGTGCAGGACATGTATGCGTTTGTTGAGTATGAGGAGGACGGGCAGAAGAAGCTCGAGTTTGTTCCCCTCCACGAACGCGTCCAGCTCTCAAAGCGCCCGCGCAAGGTACTGCACGTGTGTGCGTGCGTGCGTGCGTGTATCTGTGATTGTGATTGTGTGTGTGTGTGTGTGTGATTGTGTGCGACTTGTCGTGTAGTAGTTGTGGCGTATCGTGGCGTGTTCTGCGTGTGATTGTTCATGTGTGTGTGTTTGCGCGTGTTGAGGTTCATTCACCAACGTGTGCTGAATTGGACAATTTCGTTTCTGTCATTGTCCACCTCCATCCAATATCCCAAACACACACACACACACTCACTCGCTCACACACACACACACACACTCACACACTCACCCCGCCTCCCTCGCCCTCCTTGCTGCAGCGCAAGCCGAGCGTGGCCAACGAGCTGACTGTTGTGCACCGCGGCTTTGAGCCCGAGGAGTTTGAGCGCCACAGGGACCGCATCCACCAGATTGGTGCGCCCACCTGCCCTTGGCTTATTGTTGTCGTCGTTGCTTTGGCTGTCTGTCTTGCTGTTGTCGCGTGTGTTGTGTTGTGTTGTGTTGTGTTGTGTTGTGTTGTGTTGTGTTGTGTTGTTGTGTTGTGTGTTGTGTTGTGTTGTTGTGTTGTGTTGTGTTGTGTTGTGTTGTGTGTTGTGTTGTGTTGTGTTGTGTTGTGTTGTGTTGTGTTGTGTTGTGTTGTGTTGTTGTGCATGCGTGTTTGTGTCGCGTGTGTTTGTGCTGTGTTGTGTTGTACGCTGGACGTCATTTCTGCGCTGCTGGTGCCCAGCTCACCTGCCTTCAACACCCCCCTCCACTGCTGCGCAGGCTTTACATATGGCGACGAGGATGCGGATGCCCACGCAACGCGCACAGCGGAGGAACAACAGGAACACGATGCAGGGCAGGACGAGCAGCAGCACCAGGAGGAGGGGGAGGAGGGGCAATTGGGCGCGGGTGAGGCTGGCAGTGATGCAACAGCAACGGCAACGGCTGAGGCTGAGGCTGATGAGGCAGTGGTGGCGATGGACGAGCGGGAGGATGCTGCTGATGCGACAGCGACACCACAAGAGAAGCATGATGACGAAGAGGAGGCAGCAAGCACAGCAGCAAACGATGATGCAGCGTGATGCACGCATGCTTGTGTGCGTGTGTGTGTGGTGTGTGTGTGTGTGTGAGTGAGTGCTTCGGTTGTCTGTCGCCGCTCGTGTGGTGCGCGCTGTCTGCTCTGGCTTGAGCGAACAAGATGGATAGAAGATTCGTTCTGCTGTTTTTGTATTGAACCGACCAACCAACAGCGTTCAGAGATAGAAACTGCCTACTCCATCGAAACACAGCGGGACACAAAGAGTTGAGCGCGCGCGCACACACACACAAGAAAGGCAGACCCCCCCCCCCACACACACACCAGAGAACCACAGAGTCAGTCAAGCGCAGTCGGTGAGTGGCGAGGGCCATGGATCAAGATCGTGTTACGTTCTCTGAAAGACGGTGTCAAAGCCCGACAGCACGCTTGAAATGCGGCGGGCCGTGTTGGGCTTGGGGGTGTCCACGAAGAAGTCGTACTTGACAGGCTCGTGTATCCGGTCCAGCACCGCCCGCTCAAGCTCTGCAGCGTCCGTCTCCGTAATGTACGCGACCCTGCAGGCGACGGTGTAGTGATGAGGCCGTGTTGAAGAGGTGATGGCATGATGTGTGTGAGAGGTGGTCGCAAACTTGGGCTCACGCTCGTGGATGTGGGTTGATGTGGCAATTAGCAAACAAAAGGAGGCGCACAAGTTTGCAAGCACAAGCAGCCACGCCCTTACCGTTCTTCCATCTTCTTCTGAATCATGCGCTTCGCGTGCTCGCGTTTCTGTAGCGGAGGCAAGCAGAATTCCGTTACAGTGAGCCCTTAACAAGAAGACACACAGACACACACACAGACGCACACACACACACACCACACACACACACAGACACACCCACCACACACACACACACACACACACACACACACACACACACACACAGATGCACACATGTGTGTGCCAGGAAAAGCAGTGAACCTTGGCTTGATCCATAGCATATCGCTCCTGCCCCTGCCGAATCTTGATCAGCTTCAATTCTTTCCTTACACTTGCGATGCCATCCCTGAGTGGCAACACAGCAAGAGAGGCAGCAGCAACGGCAGCGAGCACGCCGCAAGTAGCTATGTGAGCACTGAGCAAATGCAAAGCCAAAGGCAAAGGTGTTGCATTCAATCATACAGCACAAAAGGGCTTTGCACAAGCCTTGAGAACTTGGCACGTTGTGCAAGAAAGACCATGGCACACCAAAACACATAAAACACCACACACAATACCACACCAGATACCCGGTCACGCTCAACAATGACGTACAGGAACAGCTGGGTCTTCTTGCGCTTTTCTTCACGAGCGGCCTCTCTCAGGGCGCGCCTTTGCTGCGCCTTTGCTTCCTTGGATGCGGCCTGTGTCGATTGTTGCTCATGGTGCGCTTTGGTCTTCTCGCCGTGCTGCTGCATCACCTCCTTGCGCAGGCTTGACACGGCCTCCTGCCACCGCTTGCGCTCAATCACAAACGGCGTGGGCTTCCGCCACGCTGCGCCACTCACATGCAACGCACGCGCCGCCGCCACAACCGCAGGCCCCACAACGCCGCGACCAGCCGCCACTGGCACCATGCTGCTTCTGGCGCTCACACCACCCACCCGCCTCGTCAACGCCGCCAGCATCATCGTGCTCGTCTTGGCTGCTAGAAAAACAATCGAAAATAACCGCAAATTGTCCAAACATGCACCATCATCTTTTGTGGTGTCTCAAACAGCCCACCGGAGCGGACCGGAAGGTGCCAACTTGTGGCAGAATCCGAACTGCCAACCAACCAGTGCTGTCTCACACCACATCACACACACATCATCCCCCCCCACACCCACACACGTCGTTCACCGTCATGGCGGCCGAACCAGGCATCGTCCATGGCGGCATGTGTCTGGGCGTCGCATTGTTTCGGATGCGTGCCGCGTGCAACAACAAGTGGCTGTGTCTACCCCACTCACCAACGACCCTTTTGCGCCCAGCTCATATCACTCGCTGCATGTGGCCGTGCAAGCATTGAGCACGAGACCTTGCGAGCTACCCGTGTGACTGCGCCGTATCAACGACTGGTCGTCGTGTGGCCGTGCAAGCTTCGTGCAGAAAAGAGAAGTGCCGCCTCTCCTTCTCCTCCGACTACACAGCTGTGCTACAAGGAAGCTACACGAGGCATCGTCGACGCCACTGGCCATTGGCTCTGTCTCTTTTTCTGGTTCCCCTTCATTTTGCTTTCGTGAAGGTGTCACTTGGACCTCACTTCAGCACTGTTTCTCGACCCGAGCCCACCACCTCTACAATGTCGCCGCGTGAGCCTGTGCTGCGGGCATGTGCTTCTTCCAGGCGACATGCTCCAAAGCCGCAGAGTAGGCGCGCCCCTCAGCGGACCGCGTGCTTCACACTCCTCGTGGTGCTCGCAGCCATGCTTCTCTTGGACAAGCAACGCCTTGGCGTGGTAGCTGTCTCCACATATGGCATGACCGACCCCGGCTTCACGACGTGCTTACGCAGTGTCGCAGCCGATTCTTCCACGAACAGCACCTCGTCTCCGACTTTGACCAGCAACAACTCCACCACGACGGCTCCAACAACCGCACGTCATAACGCCACTGCCGTTCCCGCCACAGATGTCAAGAGCAGCAACTTCACGAGCACAACGGCACCAGCCTTGCCCACAACCACAGCGGCAGCGCCGGCGGTGTTTGGTGAGCCTTGGCAAGAAGGCTGCTTCCGAGACGTGGAGTGCGTGGTGGACCTCGATTTCGACGGCAGTGCCTGCGTGCGACAGACAAACACATCCATTCCCGCATCGACAAACACTTCCGCGTGGGGCTTATCTGCGTCCCCGCCCCACCGCGTGGCCATGCTGGGACCGGGCAGCGACGCATGCTTCCAGCGCGTCATGCGTGGTGCTGTGCCACAACACACGAGCGCGCAGTTCAGCTTTCTGCTGTTCCTCCCCAACCCAGCCGCCGCCATTATGCACCCGCCACGCATCACGATCACCACCGTCGGCGTCATCATCAGTTCTGGCGACAGCGGTCCATCGACGACAACGACACCAACAGCAAGAAACACAACGACAACCACGAAAACACCAACGACGAACACGACGACGACGACGCAAACCACCACCACACCAACGGCCACGACAGCACAGGTGCCAGCAGAGCTTATCCCGACGTTTTCGGTGGTGTACGATGATGTGGTGGACCTGACACTGGCAGCGAACACGACGCTAGCGAATGTCACCCACCCTCTTATTGTCCCCGTGCACATCGACATGAGCACACCAGACTACGTGGTGACCGCTTTCGTTGCCTGCTTGCAGGCATCGGGTGACACCAACAGCAGTACCAACAGCAACACCAACAGCAGTGCCACAAGCACGACAACAACTGCGATGCCGGACAGCATCTCGGCAGCCAGCAGCACCACCGCGCCCACGTACCACCCCATTGGCATCTTGTCCGCTCGCGCCACCTTCAACGTTTCACACGAGGAAGTGCTGTTGCAGACGACAACAGCACCCGACATGGACGCGACGACCGAACCCGTGCTTGCAAGCACGGTGGCAGAGTTTGTGAACGAGACCGTCGTAGACGCGGAGGGCACCAACGGCACGGCAGGCGCTGGCGGCGGTGATGGGGACGGGTCCTCCCTTGAGCTGCCAACGTTCGTACCGCCAACTACAACCACAGCCCCTGGAGAGGACGGCGTGGAGGGTTTAAACGGAGCCGTCTTGGAGCGAAACTTCAACAGCACCATCCCCACAACATCATCGCCGGCATGGCTGCTCGCGTCAACCCGCGTGAGCACAACCACCCCAGCCGACACCAACAACAACAGCGGGTCTGGCCAGGATCGCGGCACGAAGCGCGTGCGGAGAATTGCGCTCATCATCTACCTCATTGTTGGGTTTGGCTCCGGCATACTGCTCATCGCAGCTGCGTTCTACTATCTCGGCAAGTGCGTGCGCCGCCGGTACTTCCTGCCCGCCCTTGACGACGGCGACATTGAGCAAGGCAGCGATGAGGACAGCGAGCAGGACGCGTTGCCAGATGAGCACGTGGTGCTGGAGCGGCTACAGATGGATGACGAGGGCCGTCCGCTCAACGTGCTCGGCGTGCCGCAACACCCCAACGGCGCACACGCGTCGGCAACCACAGACCACCGGCGCCCGCAGGTGCTGGCACTTCAGGGCATCGAGAGCAACCTCAGCCTGGGAAGCACAGGCTCGCACCAGCAACAGCAACAACAGCAGCAAGGTGCACAAGAGGGGACGGAGAGCCAGGAGTGGAAGAAGAACAAGAACAAGACGAAGAAGCGCGTGCGGTGGAAGATGGACGAGGAAGGTGGTGATAAACCCCATCAACACAAAGTCGAGCAACAGCGTGACCGGCAGCGGCAGCAACAACTGCCGCCGGACGTTCACATCTTGCAACCGCTAGATGATGACACCTCGTTGCACCAACAATTCTCTCTTGATCAACAGCAGCAGCAGCAGCAGCAGCAGCAGCAGCAGCAGCAGCAGCAGCAGGCAGCCATAGAGGTGTTATCACCACCGCCAACGGCAACTCCTGCCGTGCGCCATGCATACGCTCGAAGCATCCGCCCAGCGGCCGTGGTTGTGGGCCACGCTGTGTATGAGGAGATTCCAGCAGACACTGCGACGGGCAACAGCTGCGGTGCACACGTGCACAGGTCTGGTGCGGGCGGCTATGACAGCTTTGGCCTCAACCACGTGAATGGTGGTGGTGGTGGTGGTGGTGGTGGTGGTGGTGGTGCGCGTGGTCTCCGTGACGGCAGCGATGATCGTGTGCACGCCGGCATTCCCGCAGCTTGCACGGGGTCAACAGCTATTGCCACTCCATCAACACTGGTGCCCACACCAGCACCACCACTTCTGGCACCAGCACGGGCGTCAGCAGGAGCCAGCGCGCAGTGGACCCCGCGGCCACCACCCGTGTCCAACCTGCTCCAAGTTCCATCCATTGTTGACCCGTCAGAAGCTATGCCACCACAGCCAACGCAACCACAGCAGCAGCGAAACCAGGTCGCTGGCGATGGCGGTGAAGGGGCAGTCAAGGTTGTGATTGAGCCTGCATATGCACACATCCCCGGAGGTGAGGAACAGATGCCCGGGACCGCAACAACAACGGCAGCAGCAGCGACAACAACAACCACAGGTTTTGACACCAGGAACCAGGCGAGCACCAACGACAACAACGCCGACCATCGTCGTGTTGTCGGGGACAACGATGACGATGACAATGACGAAGAAGAAGACGACCCAGCGTCGTGGTCATCGCTTCATGTGCATGTGAACGACACGTCGGAAGAACCGTCCATCACCATAACCGTCACCAGCAGCGATGATGAAGACGAAGATACACACCATCCCAACATCAACAGCAACAAGAACGTGGACAGCACAACGGCGCTGCGCCACGGCAAAGCTGACGCCCCTTCAAACAACAGCGACGGCAGTGCTCACCAGCTGCGCGCTGGGCCATCGCGGGCGAGCATGAGCGACGAAGGAAGGGACAGTGGTAATGGTGACGGTGATCGTGTGTATGAGCGAGTGGGCGCTGTTGGCTCGTCGGAAGCGCTGCCACCTTCAGCATTTGCATCGTCATCATCGTCATCGTTGGTTCGCCGCGGCCGCGACCACCCGTACGCAGTGGTGAGCACATCCTCTTCCGTGTTCTCCACATCCTCGCAGCAGCAGACATTCGCGAACGCCAGCAGCCGTCGCAGGCGCAGCAGTAGCAATGGTGCGTCGACCACGGCGCAGGAGGGCGAGGACTCACCGTGGATTGGAGACATTATGCTGTCGGACAGTGCCGGCCTTCGCTCGCCACGCAGCTCTGGTTCTGTTCACAGCACACGTGTCTGGCGCCCGTTCACGGCCAGCATTCGTGGCGACGGCGGCGTTGATGATGACGGTGATGACAGTGATGGGTACGTTGAGGTTGGCTCGCTGTTCTCGTCTGCCCGCGCCTCGGCAGACACGACGCTGGCTGGTCGTCGTCGGCGCTCCACAGCCAGCAGCGCCCACAGCAGCCGCCACGGTAGCATGGGCAGCCTGCCCGCATTTGCACGGCTGTCGTCCATTGCTTCATCCCTGTCGCAGTCGTCATCGTTATCGTCGTCCTCCTCCGTTGCTGAGCGCCGCTCTCGGTTCCGTCCCTCGTACACGTCTGCCAACGGTCCACCGCCACCGGCGCCCCCGCCACGGCCCTCGCTTGGCCAGATCAGCGTTGCATCGCCCTCGCCCCTGCACGCACGCACACACGCGCGCAGCCAGCGGCTGCACAGCGCACCAGAGCCCGTGCTGTCATCACTTTGGCAACGCGATGGGGGTGCTCACGGTGGCATGTACACGTCAGCAGATGAGCGGCAGCAGCAGCAACGGCAACAGTATCGTCGTCGCAGGCACACGCATACGGGGGAGGAGGGCCGTGGTGCCAAGACACGCGCGCGCGCCATGCACGAAACCATGCACGGCTGGTCGCGTGAAGAAGACGACACTGCTCCGGCAGGGAGCAGCTGGCAGCAGCAGCAGCAGCAGCAGCAGCAGCCAGTGAGCGGCACCCAGCGTCACAGCCGTCACAGTCGTGGCAGCCGTGGCAGTCGTGGCAGCCGTGGCAGCAGAGCGAGCAGAAGCAGTGGCAGCACGCTGCTCTCCATCATTCCAGAGAGCATCAGTGAGACCGCCAGTCACCACTGAGAACTTTTGGTTGGTTGTGTGTGTGTGTGTGTGTGTGTGTGTGTGTGTGTGTGTGTGTGTGTGTGTGTGTGTGTGTGTGTGTGTGTGTGTGTGTGTGTGTGTGTGTGTGTGTGTGTGTGTGTGTGTGTGTGTGTGTGGTTTCGCCTGTGTGGATGATGTTGTATCGTGTTCCTCCCTACCACTGGTTTTACATTCGTTTGATTCTGTGTTGTGTGTCTGGGTGTAAACTTCCCGAACAGCAAAACACAGGCCACACGCAGGAAGCACAGGATGTATAGGTGTTGGTTTACTGCAAGTTGCGTGGTGACACGCACGCAAGCAAGCTAACAAACAAAGAAAGGGTGGTAATGATCGTGGGAAAAGAAAAAGGGAAGGAAGGAAGGAAGGAAGGAAGAACAACGTTGATGGTGTTGTTCGGCATGATGACATGATGGGACAACGTGGTACGGACACAGACAGTGATTGTGACACCAATCACCAGCGAGGCAGAGACGACAGTGGAACAAAAACACACACAAGTGGTGATGGTGTGACACGAGGCGATTAGGGACACTCATAACACACGTCCACAAAGCACAAGAACTATGGCACAGGGTAAGACATGACAGCGCGATACACACACGCACGCACACTCTAGACAAACGAGTTCACATACACGACAAGGGACAGTGACAGCTTGCGGCACAATTAGAGTACATGCAAGCGTCGGTAGGAGCACTTGGAATTAAAGTCACGAGCGTTGCCAGTTGCGACACAAAAAGGCTTGCACATTACAGGATTGTGCATCCGCCCCGGCCGCTGCGCTTGTACTCTTGCAGGAACAGCAGTTGGCTGTCGATGTATGCATGTGCGTGTACGTGCGGGTGCGCGCGTGCGTGAGTGTGTGCGTGTGTTTTGGAGAGCAGGGTCAATGAGTGGATGGTGGTGTGAGGTCGCTTGGGATGTGCATGGCATTCAAATGCACAAGAGGGATGTCAATGAGACGACAAAGCCACAAGATGACCACACGCACATGCACAGTAAGCAGGCAAGCAGGCAGACAGACAGGCAGACGGACAAACAGAGGCACACGCACACATACACACGCACATGTACGCACACACATGTAGCTGTGCACAGAGGCGGGGAACGCACCGCTTGTTGATGGCGCCGTGCCTGTGCTTGCGGATGAAGATGACAGCATCTTCAGGGGACATGCCGCTCTCAATCAGCGAGATGGCAACAAGCACGGGGGCGCGGCCAAGGCCAGCAACGCAGTGCACAGCAATCGCATCCTTGTCGTTGGCAGCAAAGGTCTCGTTGCACAGCTTCAGCCAGTTCTGGCGCACATCCTTTGGCGGTGGCGCACCGTCCTCACATGGCCAGTCCTGAACAACGCAACACGATGATGATGATGATGATGATGATGATGATGATGATGATGATGATGATGATGATGATGATGATGATGATGATGATGATGATGATGATGATGATGTGTGTGTGTGTGTTGGGGTGGGAGTGTGGTCGTCGGTGAGGAGGGACGGGGCACCGGGGATCGTGTCTTATGCAAAGGAGGTGCACGCAACAAGGGGTTTCACAACCTGCATTGCACGTGTCACCCTGATAAAACCGCAGAGATACACAACACACAACACACACAGAGGAGCAGGCACACAACCACACAGGCAGGCAGACAGACAGATAGCCAGATACCCACACAGACACACAGACACACAGACACACACAGACACACACACACATCGACACACAGGAATGAAACGTACGTGGACACGGATGCCCTCCTGCTCGATATCCTTTGTTGGATACGATGGTTCGCACACGCGAACAAGGTGCTTCACATTGTGCTGCTTCAGCATCTGTTGCGGATGCAACCATTGGCACAGCGTGGATGTGCAACACAGCGCAGGGTGAGGCAACGAACTTGCGAACAGCAACGCCGAACCATGTACACGAGGTGACCAACGTGTGAGCACACGCAGGTGCGCACCTCAATGTAGGCCGGGAGGGTATCCTCTGTCGGGCGATCCGTAATGACGAAGCGGAGGCCCTTGTGAGTGATGGGGCTGATGTGCATACGCGCCTGACCAGCAGATGTCATGATGCCGGTTGCTTGGATGGAGCGAGGGGAGTGAACGAGGGATCAACAAGCGAGCCACGAAAGAGAAAAGACAAGGGAGTCAAAGCTAAAACAACCTAAAAAGGCTCGAAGAGAGGATTTGTACTGAGACAACAGAAGAGGGAAGAGGGATTGCTTGCGGCACCAATGTGCGCTCAGGCAAGTGTACAGGCGAAATAACACGAGCGAAAGAAAAGAAATAGGGGGGGGGGCTCAAAGACCAACTCGGGGGAAGATTAAGACGTTCGCAAGGGTGCGAGCTGCGTATGGCAGGCAGTAGGAGGAACAACTACGGCAACTAGAGGCAACGGAGGAGGGGTAAAAGAGTTGGTGGAGGAGCTTAACGTTCACACGCACATTCCACCTCGGCTGTACTCAATTTGGTTGACGCACTTTGGGAGGGACTTGTCAAAGAGAGCCATAGATGGAGAAACTGTGTGAAGGATACGCAAAAGGTCCACGAGAGGCGCGAGCGCGTTGTTTGTGGTGTTCAAGCGGTTGGCTGCGTGGCAGAGTCAGCTGGTCCGTCAGGCAGTCGGGGGTGGCAGTAGAGGGGAGGTAATGAGTGTGGAAGGGGTCGCAAAGAGGGATGCAGAGAGAGGCTTGCGGGGGATAGAGCGTGGATTGGCGAGCGCGATCAGGACAACAGTCAAACGTTGGTGAGGGGGGAGAGCGGGGATCTGTGGTGTTCACAGGCAAGAAGGGAAGACTTGGGTGTGAGTCATGTGATGGGGTGAAGGCGAAACAACAAAGGGGCAAGAGACGAGGTAATGTGAAACGATGTGACACAACAGACACAAAAGAGGGCACGAGTTATGGCAGAGAGAAGCGGGATGGTCATGATGAGGATGATGGTTGTTATTATTGGGCATGTGTGAAGCGAGGACGCACGCAAGAAAGCAAGCACGCAAGGAAGCAAGAAAGAGAGGGGTGTAGTTCGGAAAGCGAGCCAGCCAAGAAAGGGGGGGGGGTTTCACCATACGCGCCACTCGCACATGCATCCCGTTCGCACAACACACCACACGCGCACGAACACCACACATTCCCCCCCGCCTCCACATGCCTCGTTGTCGTTGCTTGTTGTCTCTCACCTGGCTTGTCGGCTTGTCTCGGAGCGGTAGGATTTGTGATTGCCTCTTTTTTTGTTGGGGTGGGGGCGTGTTGGGCGCGAGGCTCGGTGGATAGGAAGGCACCAGAAGGAAACGTGTGCGAAACTTACAATTCGTTTAACTACTTTATATGATGTAGATATTTACCAGTGGCCGGAGTTTTGAATGAGACGAGAGAGGGAGAGCGTGTGTGTGTGTGTGTGTGTGTGTGTGTGTGTGTGTGTGTGGTGGTGGTGGTGGTGGTGGTGTGTGTGTGTGTGTGTGTGTGTGTGTGTGT